CTGGGGGGGGGGGCGGGGGCTGTAGCCCTGTGAGAGGGCAGTCCATGAACTAGAATTAATTTTATTATGATGATAGAGACACTGGTAATCTTCCAAATTGCTTTAACATTGTAGATATATCAATAAAACATTGCCCAATTCATTGCTGGCTCTCCGTCTCTCTTTATATATAGTGCTCTTTTTTTTTTCTAATTGTGGAGGAGCAAAGATTTTGGGGTATTTTACAGAGTGACTTTGGGATTTTTTTTATCAGAGATTTTGCAGTTTTCAAATCAGGAACACCAGAATTCCTGCTAGGGAGGCAAGTGGCAGGACCCAGGCAGAGGAGCCTGGTCAGAGCTGGCACCTTCGACCCAGCTGGACGTGGCTGACCTCTTGGCCAATTGGGGCCAGAAGGACATGCTTTGACAGTTCAAAGCAGGCCACCACACTGGGAACATTTTCTGGGCGATTGCTGCCCAGATGGCCAGGCAACAGTACACATGGCAATCATGCTGCACAAACTCTGCAGCCACAGCCCATGGGAGGCTGGCCCAGAGAGGCAGATGCCTCTACTGGCTGTGCAGTTCTCATCTGGGACTGGTGTGCAGCAGGTTACATTCAGGCGGCAGCCCCCACTGCCAGACTGCTGCAGTGGGTAGTGGGTGCAAGGAACTCTCAGTTGTGCCAGATGGACTGCTGAAGCAGCCCGAAGGGGTAGTGTCCTCAGGTACCAACTGGCCGTGCCCCAGAAACTGCTGTCTATTTGTATCCTTCTGGTATCGTGGACTCTAAGCCCCTACTGTGTGGGGCCAATGGATGAAAGATACAACAGAATTCTTGGGACAAAAAAGGCGAAAAAACCAGGATAGGAGTGTCATGTGGGTCAAAGGGTCAAAATGTGAAAATAAGTGTGCCTGAGGCGGACACCGAGCAGAGCCCCCCAGGCCACACCCATCAGTCCTCAAAGGCATTCAAGGAGCTGGTGGATGCTGCTCACTGGTGCTCCGCCCAGAGATGCGTACGGACAAGTGAAAGGAAAGTGGCCCTGCAGTCTCTGGGCACCTTCCTGGCCAGAGCCTCCTTCCTGGTCAAATGCAGGGCCCACTTGGACAGCCCAGAAACTCCTGAGAGTGAGTTGCCCTGAGCTACTTGCCAGGGCAGCTTTTTGTACTGATGTATCCCCACCCCCTGTCCCACCTCACTCCTGCAAGCAGCTGCTGGCCCCAGGCTCTAGCTCCCCCTCGCTGAAGATCTGGGAGGAGCCAGGCGGGGTTATTTTGCCCCAAGTGGCACAACTTGCACCACACCAAAGTGCATGTCTGGGCACATGCGCTGAGGCAAATAGCCCCGGCTCAAATTTGCACTGTTTCTATTTCAGCTGCTGCAACCGCACATGCCTGCAGCATGTGCACCCATGGGGTGCATCCATACATGCAGGCAAGTGTGCTTGCAGCAGCTCAAATAGGAGCAGCACAAATTTGAGCTGGGGATTTTTGCCTCACTGCATGTGCCAAGACATGCACCTTGGTGCGGGGCAAGTTGTGCCACTTGGGGCAAAATAACCCTGCCCAGCTCCTCCCGGATCTGCAGCCAGGGGGAGCTAAAGCCTGGAGCCAGCACAGGTGATTACTCTACCCAGCACTATAAAAACCTGCCCTGTGCTGGCCCCAGTAGTACAAAATCCTGCCCTGGCAAGCAGCTCAAGGCTACTTGCTCTCAAGAGCTTCTGGGGCCCAGCCAGTTGGTACCTGGGAACGCTATCTCTTGTGCCAGCTGGGCTGCTGAAGCAGCCCTAACAGAGAGTTCCCTGAACCCTCTACCCACTGCAGCATGGACAACTGGTGCCTCCTGAGTCGGGGGGGCACTTGCCCCCCCAAAGGGCCAGTCAGCAATCAGGGGGGAGGGATCTCCCCATAGCTGATCTCACTGACCTGGAAGTGCCAGCGGTGCTTGCCCAGAAATGCCAGTGGTGCTTCTCCTGGCACCACCACTCTCCGGCTGGCACTCTCAGTGGGGCACCAGTGCTCCCACCTGCCCCCCAGCCTATTGCCTAAGTGGGGAATGCTGCCTGTCCAGCACTCTCAGGGGGTGCACATGCACCCCTGTACACCCCCCCCCCTACTTATCTCCACTGCACTGCAGCAATCTGGCAGTGGGAGCTGCTGCCTGGCTATGACCTGCTGCCACTTGCGACAACATGTGGTCCCAAGGCTGTGCACCTGCCAGACCCGTATGTGGACTGCATGGCCACAGCAGAGGCATCTACACCTCTGGGGCAGCTGCCAGTGACTGCACAGTGGGCCTTTGTGTGGCACTAGTGCCATGTGTGCTGCCTCCTTGCTATGTGGGCAGCTATTACCAAGAAGATGTTCTCAGTGTGGTGGCCTGCTTAGAACTGTCAAAGCATGTCCTCCTGGCCCAAGTAGCCAGGAGATCAGTCACCTCCAGCTGGATCCTGGGTACCAGCCCTGAGCAGGTTCCTCTGCCTGGGCACTGACACTTGCCTCACTAGCAGGAGTCCTGGTGTTCCGTATTTAAAAACTGCAAAATCTCTGACTAAAAAAAAAATCATAATTTCACTCTTTAAAATACCCCAAAGTCCATTTCTTCAGTAAAGCAATTTGGAAGTTTACCAGTGTCTCTATCATCATAATAAAATAAATTCTAAATATCTATATGTGTTGATGTTTGCTTTTGGTTTTCTTATCATAAAACAGTTAGAGCTCCTCCTGACCCCTTCACTAATTAGAAAGTGGGGGCAGCTGCACCTGCAGCCACAGCTCCTACCAGCAGGTCTCATCCTGTCTGGCAGCTGGGTACAATGGGTGTGTGATGGGGGGATGTGGGGGTTGCAGGAGTGGGGTGGGAAGTGGTGTGGGGGCATG